ATTTCGTTAACCAATCTCCCGCACACTTTTCCTCATCGCTCCTTGTCTGTGGCTGCTTTGGGAGCGACCTGCGAATTTTACTACTGCCGCTGCTCACCTTAGCATATGCTTCGCCCCCCCCCCCCCCCCCCCCCCCGGTGTGCATCTCTATCACACTATTTCCCTATTACTCACACGCTTTTTCTTTTTCTTCTTTTCAGGTCTTTGTATCGCTCTGCAACCAACTAGGGCTTTTCAATATCAATACCTTATGCTTGGGGGCATGCTTCGATCTGTATGCGGAGCGCGACAAACCAAACACATACTTCACCCTCAACAGGTATATTCCATCCTTACCCAACCACTTTCCCCTATGTGGGTGCTCTGGAACCGAATTTCAAGTTTCTAACTGCTACACTGCTCTTTCAGCGCATGCTCAGCACTAGGGGGTGCAGCTTAGCGTAGGTCACAAATGATCTTTTCATCTTGTCCCATGCCCACCCAATCAACTTTGGGCCGACTTCTTCGAGGCGCTCGTTAAGTGGGACCAAAATTCTGAACAACAAACAAACGTGGCAGACTACATATAGCAGAGAAACGGCAAGGGTTTGGCAGAGCTACTCAGGTGCTGGCTCATCTGTCGTGGTAAAGATATGTTCACAAGCTATCCTCGATGAGCATTTCATCAACGCAGAATTTCAAGTAGCCGTTGACGGACATGTTAGCCTTACTTCCACTGTAGAGGGGGGGGGGAATTTATGGATTAGATGCAGTTTTTGCTCTTGGTAACACAGACTACGTGTACTGGAAGGCGAACGAAACTTTCGACTGGTATCTTCGGAACAGAGGGAACCGGGAGTGACGCTGATAATTGGTCCATTCAAAGTGATGACGCGTCCGTAGGAATGGAGGAATCGGAAGTGCCCTTCGCCTTTAGTTTCTTTAAAGTAATGGCGTATCTCTAGAAGTTGAAAGTAGTAAAGAACGTCCAGAAATGACAACATGGAGACAGCTTCATAAGAACTGGGACAAAACCAACAACAAAATAAAACGTAACACACATACAGTCGTCATCCTTGCACTTGATAGGGGCGTGTCGGCGAGAAGGAGCGTGCACACTGTTTGAAGCCTTCTCAGCCTTTTCGTTGAAACGCGTATGCGACAAAAAGTGATAGAAAACGAGTAACACGAAGGATATAATACAGTAATGTCACTTCCTGGTTCAACGATTGGTGCAGTACGGGTGCGGGCGACCGCGCCGCACGCAGCCGCACTGACATTGACTATCAAGTGCAAGGATGACGACTGTAGATATACGTAACAACATATATAACAGTGCTGCATAAAAACATGATTTAAGCACAAACAAAGCGATGCTTCTTTCTCCAGAAGAACTGAAGAAAACACCCCTCTTAATGACAGAATTTTATTCGGGAAAAATATTCCATGTACGATTCCATGTACGACCCTGTGCTGGGACTTCAAGCAGACCTAGATCCGTCGAGTTTGGGAGCCATTCATCGGAGGCGATACTTCAGGGGAGTTATTGCACTGCTCCTGATTAATCCTCGCCTTCTTAATTGACAGGGCACGTGGGTCCTCTCACACCGTCTCTTATCACCGAAGTGTGCCTGATCACAAGATAAAACTTTTTTCTCATAGTGTCGAAATGCTCAGGAAACCTCCATGCTCACTGGGGTAAATGTTCTTCTACTTTGACAGGCTGGCTATATCTGTCAGTGATGTTCCGTATTCGGGCCCATTTGGCGTGCGCGTCCCCCGTATTTCTTCATTTTTTGACAAGTTGTCTAGCGCAAACTGTCACGTGCAACATTTTGAGAACTTTACAGAACTCACCACCAACTGGGTGTTCTGTAATCCATTGGCACACATTCCTCACTTTAACCGCGATATATGCCATCTACAATACCACTGTGGTGCAGAAAAACTGGAACTACACCTTCCAGGCGCGCCTAGAAAGTTACACATCTGCGGTGCGCAACGCCATAATATTATAATTTCCAGCCTAGTGGTGAGAAATCAAGGGATGTCATCATCTGTCACCCGTCGCTGATGTCCCTCGATGATGTCGGTAAATCTTTATAAGCTGATAGTGCTGAAAGCTGTACAATCTTTAACGTCCCCTCATCAGCCCCTGTCAGACGTTGTCTCTGGCACTCTTAATCGATGGGGAGGAGAGCATCTTGCATTTTCACTTTCCTCATTAGTTCCAATTTGCAAGTCTCACAGTTCTGAAGCCCTGTGAATTTCTGTGAAGCTGGATCAAGCTCGTCCAGTCACCATGATGAATCTGTCAATTCTCGAAAGGCCCTCTCAATGGCGCAACACGTCGATGAGAAGTGATCAAGCTGCCAAATGCCCCACCCCCCCCACCCGTCGCTGAGCCTGCACTTTTGTCTCATTTTGCACTTCCCATTGCATCTAAAATGTCATTTCGTGTGACTGACATTCTGCCTCTACGGCTGTCAATTCGTGACAAACAGTCGCACAATACACACAGCACGCAACCACATACATACAAAACACACAAAAATTTTTCATACATACATGCATGCATTCATACACACATTCACACACACAGACACCACGCACCATATCATACCATTACATACACACGATAAAATATATTATCCACACACCACGGAATTACATGGCCAACCATCTGGCAATAACTCGAATAGCACGCTCACTCTAGACAGCTGTGCACGAAAGGGCGCCACAGTCCACATGAGCAAGCGCGCATATGGGGCTGGACGCCATGAGGCGTAATATGATTGTTACTTGTTTATCCTGCTTTATGTATTAACTTTAACGCTGCCAAAAGCGAACGTGAGCACAGAAACTCAAAACCAATCCTAAATTAGGAGAGAAACTAACACAAACATAATCCAAAGGGCCCAAGCGCGTGAACGATACATCTGCATTGCCGGAAAAAGAATTCAGCGCTCGCACGTTGAAATCACACATCTACGGGCTAGCTTTAGAAGAACTCCACAAGCGGCGGGCCTAATTCAAAATCTGGACGACAACCCGGGCGATGAGAAGCTGGTTTCAATTCAAACGGCGTCCAACGTTACACTAGGATGTTTCATGCACTCACACTCACGCGCCCTGACAACTGCTGCAACGCTCCGTTCTTGACACATGTCTTGTGGAACCGGCGCGAACTGGGGACGATGGCCATATCTTTTGTGACTTTCTTGTCATGTACCTTGCCGTGCTCTACAGCATCGTAACAGCTTGTGGGCTCCCTGATCCTCAGTTTTCGGGCCAAGGGCTAGAGGATTTTGGCTCGCCCCCATCTAGGTTCGTGGAGTCCTGGTATTTTGCACAGAAATATATAAGGCTGTATACTTATTAGACTCATTCACAAGCTCTCGCTTCAAGACCATGCAAAACTCCCGCAAGCTCTACCCGCACGTGTATTCCACCAGAGAGGAGAGCTTTCAAACAGCTACTTTCCTAACGGCGGCCTTGGCGGATCCTAGGAATACAAGACACTCTTGCCAGTGATTTCAAAAGAAGGGTTTTGCGGTAACATTACTTTATGACCACTTTACTCTACTAGCTATCAAGAAGTATCTTGTTCTTTAGTTGGGGGCGGGAAGAACCACCGTGCGCTTCCTCGACTTCTCAAACAGAGGGGGCGAACGGTCACGCACGTCGTTGTGATGCTTGTCGGCAAGGTAGCGACCTGAGCTGTTGTTTGTGGAAGAGCAGGGGGTCACGCTTGTGAAGATGACGTGCAACCGTCTGGCGCAGAGAAGCAGGGCGGTGGTGAGTTACAGCGATGTTTGGCTATGGTTGGCCGACGGATAACAATGGATGTGGCGGGCGGTATTGGGAATATCGGAAGCCAGATCTCTACCAGAGCTGTGAGGGAGAGAAGGAAGAGCGAATTCAGCGTATATGGGTGTGCATGGAAAAGGAAGAGGCTTATCGACTAGACAGGAATAGCCTGTGTCACCGTTCTGGCCGCAAACACCACAAGCCACTGTCGCGTCAAAGTGCAACGCGGCTCAGTCGCCCCGGCAGTCCGCAATGATGAGCACTGTATATACCTGCGTTCATAAATACAACCATTTACATAATACACCTTACACAACACACATACACACGTACATACATTCACACATGCACACGCATGCACGCATATACTTGACAGAGACACTTTTTTTTCTTAATTTCAGTGTCATCGGAGTAAATTTGGCTTTCTTTGTGTGCCTTCTTCTTCCGATGATCTTCCACAATTCTGTGCACCGATTATGTGATGATGGCTGTTTCTTCTACCATTTTCTGTACTCGCGCCGATACTAGACGCCAACAATCTTTTGCTTTTTCGATTTCGTGGATCGTCACAGAAGAAAGTCTCAGACGTCTCGATTACTTGAAAAAGTTTCCAGCAATGTGATTTCTGTCATAGTTTTGGGAAACGCTTCCCTTGGTACACTCCTAACTCTCCACGTGACAGGTTGATGATATATGTGAGACTTGATGACGGCAACATCTTCGAAGGAAAATACAAAAATTTCGCTGTAGCTGAAGGCGGGCTTCACAGTAATCCAGAAAAGTTGAATTAGAAGTGACCATACGCGAAGAACAATTCATCAATTAAATTTCTCGCTACAACGCTTGTTTTCAAAACTTTGCTCGACCTACTAGTTACAGCGAAGTAATTATTTGTCAAGAGTTGTATCGCAATACGTGCTTGATTATGCATATTGCGGTCCGAGATTCAATGCAGTGAAAAGTCACTGATGACATTTTTATATGGATGAGTCTCCATTGCCAAATGGGTAACTGCTTGAGTCACACCTACGCACAGTAGTGCTTGAGCATGCTCCAATGGCCTCGCTTGTCCTAACATGCCTTCCCTCCCTATCTTGTTGAAACTAGAATTTCCCCAGTTTTAGCGTTTGTTCATGAAGGGAGAATTTCGGTTGCTCATACAGCTAGAAGTAGACTAGCCAACACTGCTGGAGGAGCTGCAAAGCAATCAGATGGTAGCGTCGATTTGTCGATATGGACGAAAAGAACCAGACGATGAGGTGCTGTGGCATCAAGCGTATAAGAGTGGAGTGGCAGTAGTAGGCACTCCTTGTCTACGGTTTCCAGATCTGCGCAGATCCCGGACCTCCCGACCTCAGATTTTGGAGAAAGACTTTAGAGCTGGGAAGTTAGGATAAGAAGCGTGCATCGCACTAAGCACACTTATGGCTCCATCAGGAGGGACTGCAGGTACCAAGGCATTCAACCTTTCCCCTCAAAAAAGTGACACGCTGGAGACTGTGGAAGCATTTTGAGGTCTCCGCATAGTTCTTATCATCTCACGCACGCTCTCATGAGTAAACTGACTCGATTCGGTGAGCTCCGCAATTGCGTTAGGTGCGATCTTTGTCTGCGAGGTCAGTACTAATGTAAGACCTTAGAATCATTTGATTCAGTCAGAACCTCAGCTAGTCTATCGTCTCATAGCTATGCACATCGCGGAAAAAGTTTCAGTTCTTGTCTGAATGCAGAAAAATGAGGGTGTGAAAAGATTTGTTCCTGTATTGTTGATACGCCACTTTATGTTCTTGAAAGTCAGCAGAGAAGAGAAAAATTCTTTGTCATATTTTTCTTAATTAATTTTTCATATTTAATTTCGAGGCAGCAAAAGACGCTTTCACTTACCTAATACGCTTACCTAATTAGTTGTTTTCAGATTGAATGGTCTCGATATTTCCGTTCCATCGCACCGCCTTCTCTCCATAAATACTTTGCGACTAATCCGGATATTGTGGTCGCCGAAATTGATTATATGAGGAAGTAATATGGCAGGTAATAGGTGACAAATGATGACACTACGGATTATCTTTAGCGTTTCCAAGCTGCTACACTCAACTGACCCTCGGATCATTACCAATTATGTCTTCATTCGGTATGTCTCTTCCTGGAGTGGAGAACTCGGAGAACGATTCGATGACGTCTCACAGGTTTCACACATTACTAAACCTATGGTCCACAATACAAAAGGCAAAAGCAAAAGTAGTCCGCGAGATTCTAAATTTCAAGACTAAACTGGATTAGCAAGTGAATGAAAGCTAACTCATGGTCTATCCATCCATAATATATTACACTTATGAGACATGAGGTTATACCATACCAATGGGCCGCTATCTATGAGACATATTGTCATAGATGGTCACCTAAAGGTTCAGTATAATAGCCCTGTTTGCAGATAGCTTCTGCGCTCTCGCTATTTGACCGCGGTAGACCAATGCAGGCTAGTGGTCGCTCTGAAAATGCACGCCTTCGGTTGACGGGGCATCTTTCTCTTTTGTTGCTTTACTAATTTCGCTTCACACGTTTTACTCTCGTGAAACCTTTGGAGCTGAAGAAAGCTTGTCAAGGCACCTGGTGAGTGGTATTTGCATGGGTACCCATACTCCACAGGAGTTCGCAGGTACTTTTGACAAGAATGGACAGGTGGTCTCTACCTACTTTGGCAGGTATCATTTCGTGACTCGGCGAAGTTGCCAGGTCTCCACTCAATGGCTCAACACGTCACTGGGAAAAGCAAAAGTGCAAATGCCTCTCCCCCCTCCTGGTGCCGAAATGCCTTTCTCTCCGCCATCAAAACTTGCTGAGAGAACTCACGATAGAAAAAAGGAATAACCAGAGAAGAACGAGACTCCAATTTCGATCCCTCCGAAGCATCGCACTTGACGCCCCACTGTTCTGCGGGGAACTTTCCGATCAGCTTTTTCACAGGAATTCATGCCAAAAGATGGGGAATTGGCAGAGTCATGAAATGCCCTCACATCTACAGGTGGCAACACCTGCAGGCGACACTTGGCAGACAGTCGCTCCCCAAGAGACGCCCCATGCGTCATGCACATTTGCAAGGTCCAAGTTTCCATCCCTTCATCGAATCGATCTCGATTCCTTCTACGGAGCTCCGCTTCTTGGACGCACGCTTCGCCTGTTTTGAGCTACTTCGCGGTTTGAGAGCCTAGAGAACCTAGATTAATTGTCGAAGCCCTTACTTGTGTGCAGCTAACACTGCATTAACGAAGGCAAAAACACAGAAATCAAGGAGGTACGGAAATTTAGACACTGCTCAGTATAGAAAAATTGTCTACCGAACTAAATAGGAAACATCGTGGAGTTCTCACCTTTCCAGAACTCAATGCAAGAACAAGAAGCTATCATTCATCTGCCAATCCAGTCCTACAACTCTTTGAATGAATGGTTCAAGTGGCTCGAACTTTCACCTCACGCTTTTCCGGGCGAATGCGGCCCCACGGCCGCACTCATACTTAAGCAGCTACTGCTTTTACTCTCATACTTACTCTTCAAACACTTAGAATGATTTGTGTTTCCTCAAACATGGGGCATTACAATGAAGGAAAAGCAACTTTGGTTCCATTAGTTCTAAATACACTTGAGAGAGAAATGAACATCCATTTCTATCTAACCAAGGAATTCGATCGTTTGATGTACGGAAAGAAGCTGAAAACTCCCCGATGGAAGGAGTGCACATCTCAGACCATGCAAGAACGGATTACGCTGCTAGTGCCATTTATGTCAGCAAAGTGTTCAACCAGGTAGTTTCTGAAAATACTGCAAATCTCGTTGAACTTCATGTCATGCTATTGCTAATATTGGTGTAGGCATCGAAGAATTCAACGTTGGATATGGCGAACGATATAAAAGAAGCGTTCCACGGAATGCTTGTCGAAGAAGACTGGATGAACAATGCTACAAAGAAGGTTCTTTTTTCGCAGCACAAAAGTCTCCCAATAATTGCAGTGGCCTGGTGTTCTAATCGCATCCCCTGAAGAATTTAAAGGGATCTCCTGAACAGCTGAAGAGTTCA